GTTTTCCATAAAATAGAGTTCCATTTGTCAGGACATCGAAAACCAATGAGAAAGTGTCTTACTACCTAAGTAGTCGCATTTTAAAATAAATGATTCCCGCAGGTGATCGAAACGAAGTCATTTCAAAAGCTGGCATCCTGATTAGCTGAAATATCTTAGAGTACCGTTGTAGGCCAACAAATATTGGAACACTTTGTAAGCAGATTTCCGAATCGGAAACATATTTTGGAATCTCTGTTAACGTTTCCTGGGATAGCACAACTACTGTACACATACTAAGCTCTTGTTTAGGCTGAGACAACTGTCAGCTTGGTTCTAATTTGCAATACCGACGCACTATGTTCTATCTCTGAGGCAGCTTTTTCTTTGTCATGCAAGGTAAAAAAGTGTCGTTCATCCAGACCTGTCTCTTCAGGGTCTTGGCGTGATCTAGTCAGGTTTTCTGGCCGTCTGTGAGGAAGCAGACGCTGAAATCCCGGGTTAGCACCAAAACCCCAGTTGGTGCAACCGCAGGCACCCTTTTGTTTGCAGGCGTACCTCTTCATTGACAGGTCGCGCGCCATCGTGCTCTGCAAGCTGTTACTGCCGCACGGTATACTAGAGTTGAAAGTTAACTAATTCAACGCCAGGTTAAATGAAGCGTCGTGCACTCCTGTAAGTCCAGTCACACCTTTGTCTCGCCTCTTCAGGCCCTGGGTCTCCAGTAAACTTTTGTAGCACAGTTCTGTCAATTGCTGGCGTACCAGGCACCTCTTACAGTCTCTCGGGGCATTAAAGGCAGCACCTTACAAGACCTACCGTGCAGATGGCTCCGTCTCGTTTTGAGTTCGGTTAGCGCTGCCAACACCGTGACCCGTCAACTCTTGCGTGCCAAGAGGGGGACTGAGGTGAACCGCCAGGGGGTTTTCAGGCGCGACTAAACTTCTTGGTTTATCTTCTGTGTGTGTTTTTCAAACGCAGACCTTTGTCGAATAAATCAACTAAGAATGCAACATTTAAGGCAAGGACTTCGGCAGCGGTCTGCAACCTTAATTCCATCTAGGTGCCATAAATTGTACTGTTTAGCCCAATACTTCAGGAGTGGTGACATCCAAACTATTAACATTGTAACAAAATTCGGTCTTTTTGAAAAAATATATGGCCAAAACTATTTAAAGAGTAGGCATGTTCAATGCCGTATGTGATTAAAAGCCACTACAGGTTTAAAGTTTAAGAGAACATTTTTATTGCAGTTCCAGCAAAAATGAACAAGTTCTCCATATATGTACATATATGACCGATGGTTATATCATACTCTCGACATAGATACTAGTTAAAAGTTCAGACGTGTCTCACCGATGCTTTTCCTGCTGCTGCGTGACACAACTGCGAGGGGCCCGGCTCCTCTGTGGGTCGCCGTACGTCCTCTATGCAGTTTCTAGCATCTGAACTCGAGAGAACAATCAAGGTAGTAATTTCAGGCCTTATGATGTGCCTGGGACATGTCGTTTTAGGGTCAGACCCGGAATTTCAAAGAACATTTAAGTCAAAGACAATCAAATACGGCGGAATGACCGCGAAATTTCCATCCCAAAAACAAGTAATGCTGCAAGTATTTTCCCTTGTTTGCAGGATGAAAATTGCGTGGCTATTCTACGATAGTTAATTGCTTTTGACTCAAATTTTCATTGAACTTCGGGTCTGGCCCGAAAAGTCATTTCTGGGCACTAAACTCCGTGCTTTGCACTTAATTCCTAAAATAATTACCTTTATATATACATATATATGTATAAGCTCTATGATCTGATCGAACTAGTACAAACTGTACATATTTCCCGGCAGACTACAGGACTGGGAAATCCTGTAATACAGGTGGCCATGCACTAATTTCCATAGGAACAAGGGTTACGGTTAAGGCCTGAATTAGAATTAGACGTGGCGTTAATGGTAGGGTTTGTATTATTACATGGGCATCGGTACCCCACCAGTATTTCCTGTCCCATAAATTTTCCTTATGAAGTCTGAGGGCGTTTTTTCCGCGTTGTCGTAAACGCATTCGGGGCTGGCTTTCAACATTTGCTTATCGTACATGAGTCACGTAAAGTCACTAGGGATGAGAATTATTTTCCGATTTTACATATCCAAAGACAGGGTGGGAGCAAACAAGGTGTCCTTTGAGCAAAACGCCTTGGGGACTTGTGAGATCGCAGGTACAGTGTAACGCGTGCATAAAAAGTGAGACCATTTTCGCCAGTAATGTTTGTGCGCTTCAATTTTTTGCCTTCCAGTAACGTTGAAGTTTCTGTCATAACAGGTCACAGTGAAAGTGCCTTGCTTGTCGGAAAACATACCTTACAATTTTCTGTAAAAAATTCATTCTCGGCAGTTCTCCAACTTTCTTCACTTGAACCCTTCTTATACTCCTGACTTGCCTGTCATTTAAATTTCGCCTTTGCAGCGCATTTACCTTACCGTGTAAAGCTTGTTTCTACCTCGGGGACTCTCTGTACTTTCTGCCTTCGGCTACTCCTTTGCCTTTAGTTTTAACATTTTGTACGAGAGACAACGGATTAGATTTTATATTTGTCTTCTAAGTATCCGAATTCTGAGAATAAAATTCCTGGAATTAACCATCTTTTTCACAATATATTGTGGAATACAAGCCAATCTTCTATATTCCACTGAAGTGGATTTCCACGCCAAATGCATTAAGTGAATTTGCTTACGGATGTTAAATGCCTTCGTTTTTCCTTTTAAATATTTGCAGGTAAGGTGGTTTACATGGAAACAAGTAATTGGTTTGACGACAAAATTTGTTTCGGTGTACTTAAATCTCTCATGTTTTCTGCGTTTATGTAGTGAGATTCCGTTATCCCGCTGCGGAAAACGAAGTGATAATTCTCCAAGTCAAATCTTCTGGTCTATGAAAGGCGGTTTTGCATATCCTTACTGTTTATTCACATCACTGAGGGTTAAAGGTAGGCACTTTTAAAAGCTTTCCAGAATGGCCACTATAATCAGTTTATTAATCTGTTTCACCAAATCCTAGATTTTAACTATCAGTCTGTGCGTCAAATAAAACTAATGTACAAATAAAGTTATTCAGATGGTAATTCCGTGTTATCAGTCGCCTTGTCTGTCCTGTCACCAGCTGACACTCTTCCCACGGGGTAAATTTATGCGACTTTTCTGACGCGGATTCAAAAGTACACTAAAAACGACGACAGCCTGCTCAGGCTGCAAACAGTTTGCACTGAAACGGTTGAAGGCGGACTATGCCAGCCATCATCGACTGAATGTGCTATTTCGTCCGGAGACCAACTGGACTGTCTCAGTCTGCATATCGGTGGGGCACGGCTGGATTGTGAACAAATGCTAAACTAACCACTGGAGACTTAACAGAACAACTCCATGTTTACTCAGCTAGAAGTCTTCCCTTCTTGATCCGCGACTGCAGAAAGGTACGTCCGTA